GTTACACCATGTTACACCACATGTTACAGTACATGTTACACTAAAAGTTCTATATTTTATTATATATCCTCACATGTTACAACATGTTACACCTACCTTTAAAAATATCTATAGTTCCTTTTAAAAATATAGGTGTAACATGTAGTAACATGTCAAGAACTATAGTAAAGTATAATAATTTTAGTGTAACATGTAGTGTAACATGATGTAACATGATGTAACATGTGAATATTGAAATTTGTTCTAACCTATAATCGTTGAAAATGTGCATAGAGAACTGAAAACCTTAAAAATAAATTAATCCTAACATAATTTAAGACATAACCAAACGATAAACGAGCAGAAGTATCTCTTAGTTTATTTAATCCAAAAGAACTCAAGAAATCAAGCAGTTATGTGTATTTTATGAAATTAAATTCGCTTATTTTCCGGAGCAAATACTAAGTAAAACATTTTGAAAAGGGTGTTAAACCTAGAGGATTCTAAGTTGAAGCTAATATTAAATTTACTATACATTCAAAAGTATAAAAACATTTATAATCGTGTCCAAATTCAACGAAATTGCAAGGACAACCCGAGCTGTGGGCGGTAATATACGCCTATTTCCTATAATCGTACCATGGGAAGTCTCCCCCCCCTCCCGGAAAATTGTTTTGGGAGTCTGTTTCTACTGACATATGTGCCACTTGACTTTCATAACAACATAATAGAATAGCAAATTTTACATGTCCAAAAAATTTAATTTCTATCCCTTAAAGGTTAAGGGTTTGGCTTAAATCAGAGACAATCCTGGAAAAAAATTAGTAGACTTCTTAAATTTTCAAACTTTGTCCCCCTCCCCCCTTATACAATGTTGGTATTTAGGTGACATGTTTTGCAAATCCACTTTACCTGAACCAACATTGTTTCGGGGGGAAGGAGAATGGTAATTTAAAGTAAATAGTTGCTTTAATTGAAAAATGGTCACATTTTCATCATATGTTTTCAAATTTGGGTGTATTTTTCGAAAAGTCTACAAATATTTTTTCCAAGATTGTAGAACACATGATTCAACCATGGCCAGAAATGCAGGCCACCGTGGCTACCAACCATGCGCATTTTAGCCTTAATGTAGAAATCCAATATGGCGTTTTAATATAAAATTAGAGTGGGAAATCATTAAAATTTGCATTTTAGATAACTTATGATCGAGAAATTCTAATTATGCATATCCAAACAACACTAATTTTATCGATTTTTTTACCACTGTACAATTGAAGACAACTCGAGCTGCGGAACTTTGCTCCCGAGAAACAATTTTTTTACCTTAGTCTCCGTATCAGAAAGTGTGTGATTTTGCCATCTTAGGTACTTTACAGTTCCAATTCTCTGCTCGTTGTTGGCAGGCATCGGCAGATGTGCATATCAGCGCTGGTTCGTACAGACTATATCTTTATTTTTATCACGTTAAGAAGCTTAAAAGCATGTACTAATATGTTCCCTAACGCGATAAAATTCACCGATTTCGCAGACTGGCCTTTGTCGCTCTTTTGAAGGCAGAAAGACATCGTACTTCGCACAAAAACATCAATATTTCGTAGTAAAAGTTTGTTTTATTGTCCGTCATTTCTTTCCTTTAGCTGTTGCTATATTACCATGGGTTTGACAGCTGTTATTATCAAATTCGGGCTCAGTCATAAACAAAGGTCAAATTTCGGGATTTCGCGCAATTTTCAGTTTGCAATTTGAATTTAGAATTTACAGGTAAACTACGTGAAGCGTTCCTATTTTGAGTTCCTAAGTTGATTGCAATTTTCGTCATTACCTTAGCAAATTTGCAAAACTCCCTTGCAAATCCCTTGAGGGAATTTGCAATGTTCTTAAGAACAAAATAAATTTTCCTCAGTTCCTGTTAGAAGTTATTAACTTCCTGTTACAAGTTCCTAACTTCCTGTTCTGTTCTGTGCGTTGCAATTGGCCAACAAAAATAATCCACCAATGAAAACGCTCAGAACAGAACAGGAAGTTAGGAAATTAAAACAGGAAGTTAGGAAAATGTGAAAGGAACTTTCTTTGCGTTGGAATATTGCAACGGCCGACAGGAAAATTGCAAATTCCCTCAAGGGATTTGCGAAGCGTTTTTCAAAATTGCAAATCTAATTTTGAAAATTCCAAATGAGTTAGGAACTCAAAAGAGGAACGCTTCACGTAGTTTACCTATAACACTTAAAACTATTGTAAACTTTTGAAATCAAGGAACATCTATCAAGACTCTGCTGTTGTAACGTCTATTATATTTCATAATTGTGCTTTGTTATATATCTGATTGTATTTGCAATGTTCCGCCGTTGGGCCCTATGCATACTTTATATTTGCAATGGAAATTATCAGTTGAGAGCCCTTCATTTACATATGCTGCCAGATCTGCATTGAAATATATAGTGTTTGCTGTGGATATTCCTTTCCCACTACTGAAAGCCTGGTACAACCTGGTGGTGTTGTAAATGCTCTTCCAAACATCCTACACCTGCATGTGATCCTAAGAAAATAGGCATCAACTTGCCCTCAAATTTTGCCCAGTTTACTTATATCGAGTTGTTTGAATTTGCAATTCCTGGAAATTCGTTTCGTCTTACATGTGACAAAATAGTGAGGTCAGAAATAAATAATTCTCTTCGGGTTATGGCAGCAAAAATGTATGCTGAGCATATGGCAACAATAGAGGTAGAAATAGACGACAACTGGATTTAAAGACCAAGAGGTTCCATATTTTTGATGGACAACCAATTTCTATTACAAAGCTCAAACAAGATAAGGCATTTGTTTGCGACGAGTTGGAAAAATGGAAGGAAAGCAACATTAATTTAGAGTTGCAAATTAAGAAATTTTACCATGAAATGGAGATGGCCATCCAAGAAAAGGATGAAGTAATTGAAAACCTGCAGTCAAAAAGTGAAGAAGTACTGAGATATATTGACAAATCTGAAAAATGCAGCATCAGGGAAAAGATATTTCAGAAACGAAGAAAAAGTCAAAGACTCTCAAAATTTATTTGTCTCAGGCAGCAACTGCCTTATGGTTTGAAAAATCTTTTGGACTGGAATTAGAAGGAATGACCATGTCAAGTCCGTAACGTAAACAAATCCTTTGTTTACATTTTGAACTGCTATATGTGTAAAATAAGACATACTAACTGAATATCTAACACTATTCTGGTTCGCTATTGTATATTAATAAAAACTAGAGGACATTTCAATTCAAAAAAGTTCGAAAGATGCAAAATTTGGGTAATATTTATATCTGTTGGGTCCCCCTTTGTTATGAGCAGGACTAATGCGCAGAACGAACTTGACATGGTCTTTAAAAAATCAACTCTAATCCCCGAGCCAACGGCGTGGAGCGCCGTTCCGGGCGTAAGCTAGGGTCGAGGGTACTAATTCCGCCCTGCTATTTACATCCGGGGAAACGAAAGCATTAGCGAAGTCTAAAGTTCATCAATGATCGCGGGCGTGGGTTACAGTGCGTGGTTTGGTGTTTGGCGGGTGGATCTTCATCTCAATGATATCAAAATACATGTTAGAAAGCTTGGAAAATATTTTCGCATAATAAAATGTAAAACGTTTTTTCAATTTTTAAACGTAAACATTTATAGGAATTGATTTAGTATGAGAAATATTAAAGTGTACAGCAAGTTTGTTTCAATTGTTTATGCATGCCTTTATATTAATATAGACTTTGTCCTTGTTGTTCAAGTCTTTCCTATGCATTGTGTGCGAAAGTTTCTTCGTTAAATTAACATTTATAGAAGTTCATGATAAAAAGGAAAGCAATTTATTTTTGTTAGCGTCCTGTACGAATTAAATTTATTTCATTTCAAAGTGCGAGTAATAAGTTGAAGCTCGACTTGAATAGTTTAATATCGGCAAAAAGCAGTTAATTTCAATTCACATTTAGAAACATTTTACGTAGAGTTTCGTTTTGAATTTTACAATAAAATACAGTCCGTGGAAACGAAAATAATATACTTACTTTATACATTTTAGATATTGATAGTGCTGTATTTAGAAGTGTTCAAGTTTCGTCTATTTTTTACAGGTTTGAACAATACATTTAGAAAAACAATTCTCGTGTTGCCCTGACAAACATGACGTGGCAACGCGAGCCTGCGTTCAGTGTTGGCGTAATTACGATTTACGAATACTTCATTTTGAAACAAAGTTTGGAAAATATATGCATGTATTTCTAGTGTTAGAAATAATTTAGTTGTTGACAACAGTGGTACCGGTAACACAGATAATGTTTATGGGTTTGATGCTCTCTCAGATGATGATATATAAGGGCAAGGTTTAAAAAGTTCTGTTTCTCCTGGATTGGTTCTGTGTGGATGATGATTGTTGCCACGAGATAACTATGTTGGTAGATGGCTTGCCTAAGTCCTATTTAGGTAAGCAAAGAAGAGACCAACTTAAAAAATGTGCTACATACCGTGGGCCTTAGTGCGAAAAAGTGCTTAGAAAAGCAATTTCGTGGCAACCCCCTGGGGAATAGATTTTCTGTGGTTCAATGCACAGTACCATAGATGCTCAATTACCACAAAAAGTTCCCAAGCAAAAAACTTGCCAATCACCGAGAAAATGGGTGATCAGTGATTATCCTCTATTAAATTGTATTACAGCAAAAAAATATGAAATTTTGTATCCAATTACAACAAAAATGACTAGCATCATCGGAAAGCTTACAATAAAATGGATATAAGACATTTAAACTATTTTCTTATGTCTCAAATTGTTTTCGAGTTATACGCTGTCAAAAACGCGTTTTTGACCTACAATCAGGAGCAAAAATAATGACACTTTTCACGTTTTTGGCCATTTTCAAATACGTCGGCCTCCCCCCTCCCCCCCCGTTCAATGTTGGAAAAGGCGGGTTGGATTTTCTCTTTTCAGTCATCCACACAACATTGAATTGGGGGTGCGGGGGGGGGGGCATTTATGCGTTTGTCTCAATAATTTTTGCTCCTGATTGTCTCTATATGTACTTTTGAATGAAACGTAATTCGTTCATGTTCATTCAACTTATTGTTCCCGGAAAGATGCTGACTTGGATTTCTTGCTTAATGAACCTTTTGCTATATAATATATTTTTCTCAGCAGTTTTCTATAATTGAGTACTTCATGTAAAAAAAATATATGTGATCTTCAGAACTATAGCTATTTTTTGTTTCGAAAGGACGATTGATTGACGAATATATACATGGGAAGAAGATTATAAAATAATAAATAAATTTCAGACAATTTTTCCCAATGGCTGACAATCATGAGTATATTCTTTCTCTCAAACAGAACATTTCCTTTAAGTTCAAGAATTTTATAACAGACAACGCGTCATTTAGACCTATTTTGGAAAAATTTCAATGATTTTCCTACTTTTAGCTGAATTGTTGCGTGAGATTGACATACTCACTAAATTTTAAACCCAATTCAAGCTTTTTATTTATCTTGATAAACGGACTTACCGATCGTAAACTTGCGCTAGAATTTATTGCAAACTTCCATCTCCCATGATTTTTGGATTATTTGTGTGATGAGTTCAAGCAAATCTGGTCGCACATGCGCAAAATCTCAATCTATTTTTACGTACTGAATATAGACACGTTACACACACGTTACACCACACGTTACACCACACGTTACACCACACGTTACACCACACGTTACACCACACGTTACACCACACGTTACACCACACGTTACATAATAATTTGTAGCAAAACATATAGAGATATGACACGTTGCACACGTTACACACATTGTTTTTAAAAAAATATATATATATATATTTATTTTTTTTAAAAATGGGTGTAACGTGTGTAACGTGTCATATTTCTATATATTTACTACAGATTATTATGTAAAGTAGGTGTAACGTGTAGTGTAACCTGTGTGTAACGTGTGTGTAACGTGTCAGCGTTTGCTTAATGAACACAAGTGGATAAAATTTACATAAACTAATCACTTTAGATTAGCTGGTGAACATCCCACAAGCACAACAGCACATACTGCAGTATAAATGACAAAGTTTTCTTATTTTTCGTCATATGGCTAAGCTGAGAAACTGTAATACAATGACTCCCTCCTCAGGAAATGAAGGCTAATTGAGCTTGAAAGGACGTAAACGAAGTTGAAATCACTACATTAGATATTTGATTACTACATTAGATTATTGTATATGTAATAGATCGTACTTAGCCTACAGCTTGTCTATTTTCCCAAAGACTTTTCGGCTCTAGTAAGTAATGACAGTACAAAAATTAAACTTGTCAGAAAAACTTCTTTATTCTTGTCCAGTCCCCAGCGCAGCCTCCTTGCAGAATTTTTACATTTTGGAGGACAAAAAACTTTCGGTTCATTGATTGAAATATGTCAATTTCATGTCAACATGATCGCTAGAGTTTGGCAAAATTTCACATTTTCGACAGCAAACCCCCAAACAGCTTCATCTCAGACTGTCTCTATATGTACTTCTGAATGAAACGTAATTCGTTCATGTTCATTCAACTTATTGTTCCCGGAAAGACGCTGACTTGGATTTCTTGCTTAATGAACATTTTGCTATTTAATATTTTTTTCTAAGCGGTTTTCTATAATTGAGTACTTCATGTAAAAAAAATATAGGTGATCTTCAGAACTATAGCTATTTTTTGTTTCGAAAGGACGATTGATTGACGAATATATACATAGGAAGAAGATTATAAATTAACAAGACGCCGACTCGGCGTTAACCTTGGGTCGGTGGATAGGGGATCGTCTAGTAAATATCCAAAAATTGTGTAAATCACGATAGTCTAATAGTTCACTAGTATAAATGGTGAATCAGTTAATCAAAGCTCCGTTTTAATATTTTATTGATAATAATTACTGGCCCTCATCAAACCTATTGTTTTCTCTCTGCATTATATCAGCGAATGTCGAGAAGTTTTCATTTAACGTTCTACTGAAAAAAGGGAGCGGCGTTTTTGGTTGTATAGGGAAATTACGGCTCAGGGATAAAAGTTTATACGCGTCATATTCTATGTACGCGCTAAAATAGCACACAACATTATTAAAAATAATACAGCGTGCATCAGTGCACACAGACATTATTAGCAATAATGCATCTTCGTCACCCTGACATGTACACGCGATAACGTGAACATCCCAAGATGAGAAGGTGACAGTGCTAAAGGCCCCCCATACGGTGTCGTCGGGTGCCTGAAGCACTGTTGGAAACGGTCGCTGTGAGTCTTTTCAGTTCAATTTTATAGAGAAATAGTTTCGTTTGCGCTTGTGGGATTTTATCCTAGATATACGCATGTGCAGAACACACCATAAGTTCTATTCCCGTGTTTATCCAGTTTAATACCTTCTTTGAATTAGCCTTATCATTACTGATAATATGTAAACTAGAACACTATAATTGACCTCCGCTTGTGGAGTTTTAATTTAGGGCGATTAATTAAACTGAAATCTGTTCTATCACGATGCACTACAGTGCCTATGGTTATGTTATTATTATTATTATTATTATTATTATTATTATAAATTTCCAAACTAGCAGTAACAACTGAATTACTTTGGAATTACAGGGTATAAGTACATAGGTATTCAATCTATTCTATATTTACAGGTAAAAATAGGTAAGTTAGATAAAAATAACGATAATAATCTAACGTTTACTTATTATTATAAGCACGAGACGCAGCAGGAATGAAACTGTTCGAAAAACGTTCAGTTCTACACCTAGGTACTAATAAGTTGGGATAAGACCTCAGATTATAAGTTTGAAGACTTTTAGGTGGTACTAAGGCATTCAGTTTATGAGTGGGTTCCAACATCTTCGAAAAAAGTCGCTTGCAAAGAACAGTTCTACGTTCGTAAAGAGTCATCAAGTTATCTTTAAGCAAACATTCAGCATAGATAGTTCCAGCGAAAATAATTTTTAATGCCCTTTTTTGTATTTTTTTCAACTTGATCACTCAGGTAACGAGGAAGGCCATAATACCACACCGGACAAGCGTATTCGACAATTGGTCGAATATG